CTTTAGTTCCTCTCCTCTGAAACCTCTGAATATCTTGCTTTAGTGTAAGGCTTCAAGAATATCCATAAACATAAATTACAGAGGACACCTCTAGAGTTTTGGATTCAGTAGAGAAATTGCATTTCTAACAAGTTCTTGGAGGATGTGGGTGCTTCTGGTCACCCACGTTTGAATTTCTAATAATTTCAAGAAATATTTACCAACACTTTCTTGTGAGAGGTATTAATCCTGCTTTTCAGAGCTGATCACCCCTGGTTTCTTCTGTAAGCATCTTCATTTCAAAGAATGCCTCTTCAATAAAAAATTATTGCCCTAAAACTTTCACCCCTGTAAAAAGAAGACCTTGAAGAAAAGCCTAATTTTCAGCATAAGGAAACAGAAGCATAATTTTTAGGTGCAGGGAATTTCCCAAAGGAATTCGAATGGCACCAATTTGTGGGGCAGAGCTTTAGCAGCACAATGCAGTCTTTTCCCCAGTCCCTGAGCCATTCACGAGGCCAGGCCCCATGTTTTATGGTCCCTGTGAAGAAAATACTCTGACAATTGCTGTCTCAGAATTTAACCTCTCATGCAGTAGGTGACTGTGCACTGAACTACAGAAGAGATTTAAGACCGGAATCTAATGGCTTACAACAGTCCAGCACCCTGAGGAAACAGCAGTTGCAGGTCCTAAAGCATTTACAAGATGCAGCACGCCCTGCAAGTCAGTTTCCAAAATGGAGCATTGTCATCCATAAATTTGAAGCATTTTAAGAAAGGAATTTACAGCTTTTAGCCTACCCTATACCTGCATTCTGTCCTTGAGGCATGTCTGCTTTGACGGTTCCTTTGCCCCACTTAAAATGTTCACCTTTTTCATTGCATTGCTCGGTAGTATTTTTCCCATAAACTCTTATTTTGTGTGGATATGTTAATGAACCTTATAATGCCAATCCCAGTGGATGCAGACAGTTTTATTAAACATGCTATTTCCCTTACCCACCAAAGTGTTAAATGATGGTTTAGAGGTTTGGATTCATCATGCTGATCTAATTACACTAGACAGCTTTTGTTAAATCTCCAGAGTAGCTGGATTTGAAGGCCTTTTGTGCAGACGCACAATTTTGAAGGGATTAGCAGATTAAATGCCTTCTAACCTCTCATCTATCCAGGTTAGGAATGGGCAGGGTGTCTTCTTTAGCATCCGAACTTAGTGGGGAAGAGTGTGGTCAGTTAGCCATGTCTTAATAGGTGAAAGGAAGGAGTTCTTGCCTGGATGACATGAGCAATTTCATCTCTATAACTCTTCATTTGAGAGAGTTTGCCCCATTTTGTATGTTCACCGTTAGTATGTTTACCTCTTTAGACTCAGTATTTATAATATTTAGTAAGCCTCTGGTGCCATAAGTATGTGATGTGTTGAAAGTGACGTTGGAGCTGGCGGAGGCACTGAGGCAGTAGTAGTGACGGTGAGGGCAGAGGTGGTGGAGGTAGCAGTGGAGGTAGGGATGGTGGAGATGGAGATGGTGGAGTTGGTGGAAGAGGGGAGGTGGACATGGGAGAAATGCACATGGTGAAGGCGATGCTGCTGATCTGCCTTGAACAGAGTCAAGAGAAACCAAGCAATTCCCAGACTGGTAGATGCCACTCCCCCTTTCCACAGGCCAATACTGAAGCCCAGAGAGGACACAGCGTTATTATTTCACACAAGAGAAACCTTTCTATCCTACCTCCTTCCTGTCCCAAACTCACAAATCCCAGTGAATGTTGGGTAATGCTAACAAATAATAACAAACCCTTGAACTTAAGATCCCAGAATTACCAAATCCTTACAACCAGCAACTCAGAAGCTCTTAAAACAACCTGCTTCCCACAAGCTGAAGAGCTGACCTGATTTCCAACTCCTCAGGTTTTCTATGTCTTATATCTGCTGCAGGGGCAACCCCTAAGCTGGGTGCTGTGCACCTGCAACTTTCAGCTAGAGCTAGTGACCACATTGGGCCTTCCTGGAGAAAATAAAATTAAGGTGATTGATCATATATTATTATTATTACATGAAAGGAAGCCAGAGTTGAAAGATTGTAAGTGTGCTTACAGGCACAATTGTCAAGTGCTTAACAGATGCTAGTTTTTAAATAAACTTTGTATTTTGGTAGAGTTTTAGATTCACAGAAAAATATAAAGATAATACACAGAGTTCCCATGTACCCTGCATTCAGTGTCCCCTATCATTAACGTCTTACGGTACTATAGTACATGTGTCACAATGGACTAATGAACTAATGAACCAACATTGGTCTTCAGTACACTACTATTAACTAGATTCCAAACTTTATTTGGATTTTATTAGTATTTCTCCAAATATGAAACACTATGAACTTTTTATTTGTGTAACATGATAAACTCCATCACGCAAGATTGCTTGAAGCTCCTTGAAGGTAAAATGTAGTTTTATGCATTTGCTTATACTTCTTTTAGCACCTTGTATAAATATCAGGGGCACAATAACGTGTGTTGACTGGTTAGGTTACTATAATATCCCATTGATTCCATTTTTGTACAAGATAATTCACCAACCTCACTCACTCAGTTCAGTGATAGTTTTATACACCTGGAACATAAATGAGTAACAGGAGTAGAGCATGCTATCATGTGAGCTGTCACATATATTCCACTTAACTTTTGTTTTCAGAAGGCCCAGCCCAGGTCTCAGAGCTGGAGACAGTGCTGACAGCCTGGAGTAAGGGTTAAGCCTTTCAAGGTAATTTCAGAGACAGCATAACAGAGAAAGGTTAGTAGTTCAAGAATCCTATAAATCTCTGTTCTTGATCCTTCTCCTTGGTGACCAGGCTCTTGGAGTAGCCCATGACACCCTGTCTCTTTTCCTCTATAGGGCACCTACACATAATTGTGTTCAGCCCTCCTAGCAAAAGAGTTCAGCTTCTTTTGCAAATTGAAAGTTTTCCTGAAATTTAACAGGGCAGAATTAGGTTACTTAGAAGGAACAAAAAAAATAAAATCATTAGACCCAAAGCTTAAGTTGGAAACTCAAAGCAGCTCTTTTTGAGGCAATAATAATACCTAACAGTTCCTGAATGGCAGACACTATCTTAGTTGGTTATTTAACTCACTTTATCCTCCAAGAACCCAAGAGGCAGATTCCCTCTTACATAAACAGAAATTTGCTTTGCTCATCTCTCTTCCACATGTTAAAATAAATAGATGAATCCCATCTGAAATGTATTAGTATCTTTCATCTCGAAAAATGATAAAGTACTTTGCCAACATGTGAACTTGATTCTAGAACCCTTGAAAATAATGACAGTAGAAAAGTGTCGTCAATAAGGAACTATTTTGCCTAGTTCCACCAGTCCCACTACCCTATCCCCATCTCCTGCCTCCTTTGTCTCTCTCTGCTGCTCTCTCTCTCTCTCCTTCTTACCCTCACAAACACACACGCACACACACACACACACACACACACACACACACACACACACACACTAGAAAGTAGGCTACCATGACAGCTACTGTTTTGTGTTGCTGTAACAGAATACCTGAGACTGGGTAATTTAAAAAGAAAAGAGATTTATTTGGCTTAGGATTCTGATGGCTGGGAAGTCAAAGAAGCATGACACCAGCATCTGCTTAGCTTCTGGTGAGGGACTCATACTATGCCATAACATAATGGAGAGCCAGAGGGAAAGAGGCATGCCAACAAGAGAACCCCACTTTATAACAACCAGCTCTCATAGTGACTAATCTAGCCCCATTACTGAGAACTCAATTTCTATTGCAAGAGCAGCACCAAGCTGCCCACAGGGGCAGAGCCCCCATGACCCAAATGCCTCCCATTGGCCCCACCTTTTAAAAGCCCCACCTCCCAATATTGTTGCACTGGGAATTAAGGTTCCAACTTGAGTTTGGTTGGGGATGCTGAAACCATAGCAGCTACCAAAATAATTATTACTGCCTGCAAACTCGATAAGGAAAAAAATTAATAAATTTAACTTTAAAAAATATTCCTTTCCTATTATCAAATATACGTTCAAGGTAGAAAATAAACAGCAACAACAAAAATAGAAGTTTAAAAATGAAAGCAAAAAATGATCCATATAAGCACATTCTAAATACAGCCATTCCTGATATTTTTTTTGTAGTTCCCCCAAATCTTTTTTTCCATGTATGTGTGCTTTTCCTTACTATTAATAAAATCACATCACATATACACTTTGATTCTGAAATTTTTTTTACACAACATTATACATTATAATTTGCCCATGTTATTATAAATTCTTCAAAAATATCATTTTTGTGGCTACAGTACTATATGTCATATTGTAAATTAAGGTTCAAGTAAGTCTTCTCACCTCAGTAACTCCCTCAGCTCCCCTGCCACCAAAACACACAACCTTTTTTCTTTTTAGTTCTCATATAATAAAAAGATCATATAGATTTTCATAAGCTTGGTTTCTCTTCTGAGTTTGATTCATGGCCAAGTTACTTCTGCCAAAATCTGGTCCTTTGCTATCCAAAGTGCTTTAAAATTGACATCTAACCATTTATAATGGGGAGGCACATAAACACAATGACTCTTTAATTTATGAGATTGAACTAGTAAAAAAAATATTTTTAAAAAGTACATTAATTCAATCAACTGCTGCTACATAGTGTGACCGATATTTTGGAGATAGGAGAAAGAATTAGAGTATTAGTATTCAGCCCTTTTGTGTACTCAGCAAAAACCCACACAATTATATTAATAAATGATCTATGGAATGCAAATTGATATTAGATTCATAGTAATATTTTCTGGTTAAATAATTTTTATTTGTTTCCTATGTCAATGGGAATAGAGTAGACAGAATATAGATTTTAAAGGCAGATGTAACTGAATTCAAATTCCAGGTCTGCCATTTGGTAATTTCATTTTTACTAGGCAAGTTGTTGAACCCATGAGACTCAGAGAACGTGTCCAGAGAATAAAGACCATAATGCCCACCTCATCATTTCATTTGTGCTAAGGATTGAGACAATGTGTGTGAAGGTTCTTAACAGTGCATGGTACATAATGGAGGCTTCATACATGCTAATTCTCACTACCATTTCTTTTCCCAAAAGAGCCTCGTTTACTCAACAGACATTTAGCTTAATCCCTGGTTCAGCACACACAATCTTTCCAGACTTCTTTCCATATGTATACATGGACCTTGCAATATCTACTTGTGCAGAAATGTGCTATATGTAAATGCAAATTTTACTCTATGCAAATACATATAGGATATCCTGCAGAGTAGGAGCTATTCATATGCATGAATTGTATGCCAGTCAGCTCAATCTGGATAGAGTAGGTACAGACTGGATGTGAAAGCAATCTGGCCAGGGCATCTGCTATGCTCATCAGTGGCCAGGCTGGATTTGGCAGATCTGCCTGGCTGGTCTGAAAGTATATCCCTTTCTTATTTTGTGTCCCATTAGGTCCTTCTGCTTATTGGGCCAACCTTCCCAGATAGAGAAGTGTTCTTCCATCAGGCATCAGCGTGGGCCATAATTCAAATTTTCAAATGTTAGAAAATATAGAGAACAGACTGCAATCTAAAGCAATGCTACTCAAGGTGGCATCGATGTCCTAAAACCAGCATGTCAGCACCACCTAGAAGCAAATTCAGGGGCTCCTGAAGACCTGCTGAATCAGAATCTGTGAGAGTGAGGCTCTTCTGTTGACACTGGTGCTCACAAAAGTCTAGTATAAAGTGAAACTTCATTCATTCAAGAAATGTTCACTGAGTTCCTGCCACTATACCAAACACACTGGCCTCCTTGCTGTACCTGGAAACAGGATGAGAAAAAGTAAAGACTTTCAACATAATTAACTGGAGCTGTTAAAATTCTGTTTGTATTTTATCAATGCTCTTAGTTCCAGATTTCATACTGATTTCCAACTTCAGTTAAAAATTAATCTGAAGTGCTTGCTTTTTAGTATTAATACTGGGTATGTCAATGGTGTTGAAATTAGTTTTCTCAAAAAGGGAAATTGTTCATTGCTCCATTGTCTCCAGTCGCCTCATCTAGGACAAACTCCCACCGAAGTGGCAGCATCCACAGCATCGGATGACATAGTGGGTGACAGCTCCTGCACCAAAAGCCCATGTGCACATAGCAGTTATGCAGCAGGTGGCCATAGTCCTTTCCATGACTGCCGTGGGTTTCCTGGTAACAAGAGTCACTGGGTACATAAGCAGGAAGAACGCACATGTTCCAGAACAGCTGTCAGTGCTGAAAAGAATTCAACATGCATGTGGACAAAAGTCTGGGATCGTCCATTATTTTAAATGAAATAAGCCAGACACAGAAAGACAAATACCATGTAATCCCACTTATATGTGGAATTTTTAAAAATTGAATTCATAGAAGCAGAGAGTAAAATGGTGGTTACCAGGGGGTTGGGGGTGGTGAGATTGGGGAGATGTTTGGTCAAAAGATGCAACATTTCATTTAGATAGGAGGAGGAATAAGTTCAAGAGATCTATTGTACAACATGAGACCTATACTTAAAACAATGTATTGTATTCTTGAAAATCTCTGAGAGTAGATTTTAAGTGTTTCTAACCAAAAAAAATGCTAAATATATGAGGTAATACTTATATTAACTAGCTCAGTTAAGCCATTCCACAATGCATACATATTTGAAAACATCATGTTGTACATGATAAATATATGCATTTTTTGTCAGTTTAAATGATCAATTAATTATGTTTTTAAAGTCTAGGGTCATGAATTATTTCATGAATTATTTCATCAAAGGTATCTTTTTAAAAAGTTAAGAAGATAAAGAGAGCTTAAATTTACCTTTATTTATCCAATTTGGAATAAGAATCAAATCAAATAATATTTGAAACCCTATCCCTTGTGGCTTTTGAAATGTCTTACATGCATTTGCCTAGTACTCATTCCTCAAATTTCATAAAGCAGAATTTGGCAATACCAAAACATATTACTCAGCTTCGTTTTGTTTAAAACATGAAGATAGATCTTTTGGGTTTTTTAAATCTAATTATAAAGCTTATATATGAAATTCAATCAAACAGAAAGAGCAAAATAAAAAGCACCTCACATTCACTATCCTAAGTAATCACTGTCAACATGTTCTTACGTTATGTCTCCCCCTAATCACAAACATACAGGTACATGCACACAATTTTATATAAATAAGGTTATCTATACCTGAGGTTTTGAACTGTATTTTCCCCTCCTCCCTATGTCCTAGAGATCTTTCGATCTCAGTATTTACTGATAAATATAATTTATCTTTTTAAGTAGCTGTATAGAGTTTTGTTTTCTGAGCTACCTTAAGATATATATATAACTAATTCTCTATTTACAAACATGTAGATTGTTTTTAGTTTTTCATAACTCTAAATAACATTGGGGTAAACAGTCCTGTATGTGAACATTTTTGCACCTTTTTAATTTTATGATTAAAAGAAATATCTAGCAGTGAAATTGATGATAGAAGGCCATATGCACTTAAAAGTTTGATTCTATCACCAAACTGACCTCCATAAACACTGTTACTCTTTTTAATCTTTTCCAGTCCGGTGGACAAAAATTAACATCTCATTTTTAGTTCTATTTCCTTCACTACAAATGAAGTTAAAGAAAATCGAGTTTAGCATACATGTGAACTTAACTGATCATCTCAGAAACCCTCTGCTTCACGTTTGAGTTAATTGGGCTGTGCTGTATCCAAGGAATTTTTCATTTATAAGCTTGGAAACGTTGCATCTTTGAACCTCTTCAGGAAAAAAAAATAGTAAGTTTCTCTTAAAGGAAATAGATAATAATTTAAACACATCAGAGCATACAGCTTCAGGCATCTTGTCATTTTTCTAGGATATTTATAATCTCAAAAAAAAGTATTGGGGGAAAAATGTCATCATTTCCAATGTGGTTCTATTATAAATAATTGCCAAAAACTATTTCAAAAGCAGACTATGAAAAGATTAAAAGTCAGGAATCCTGGGCTTTCTTCTCAGTCTGCCACCAACCAACTCAGTGACCTTATGAAATGACTTCACCCCTAGAGGCCTCAGTTTCCTCCTCAAAAACAAAAGGGACTGAGGAGACGTTCTTTGAGGTACTTGCAGCCTAAGATGTGATGATGATCTTCATTCTCGGGACAGGAGCTTTGCCAGGCCCTGTATTGACAGAGATCCCCAACTGGTACTGGCCCGGTGCTAGCTTCCCATCCTGACACTCAGCTTCCATCTCGGTCAAATGTAAACAATCCATTTTTATTTTGGTAAAATTTAACAATATAGATAAGCTGGAGAGATATACCTTTTATTTTTGTGTGTGAGTGGATTTGTGTGTGTGTATGTCTTTTTCCATTTATTCATTTCTGAAATATTGATCGAGCATCTTCTCTCTTATAGGCTAGTGCAGGAAACACAAGGCTGAACACAACAAAAATTTCTTTCCTCAAGGTGCTCAATGTCTAGTGGGAAAATGGACAAAAAGGGAAGCAGGTGTTGCCTGAAAGAACACTGTGATTAAATAATACCTTTTCTTTCTCAAAATTCACAGTTGTGTGAAATGGCATTTTCCTGTTCTTTCATTTTGCCACACAAGTGAAAATGATGAAAGGTTTGAGCAAGCATAAAATATCTTTAAAAAAAAAAAAAAACAAATATTTGGGCCTCCTTTAGAGTAATATCGTTCACTTTAAATGATAGCTTCTAACATTTCCTCTTATTTTAAGTGTTTAAATATAATTTTCAACAACTAGGAAAGAATGTAGCATATTTAAAATCCAAAGATGGTTGTTTTGTACTAATAAGTTAGAGAAGGACCAGATACAGTATAGGGTAAGTCTTAGGGTTAGAGCCAATCAATAGGAGATTCATGTTGGCAAAGCACCAAACTCATGGGGTACCAGTTTCCCTTGGCGCTGTTGGCCACCTTCCAACAGGTGGGCAGAGGCTAACATTGCAGAACCAGAGGAAGTGATGTCAGCATCCCAGGAGATTGGAATGTGGCAACTGGGAAGTCATTTCATGCATAAGAGGATCCCATCTGTAAGGAGGATCCCAGCTGTAAGTCTAGGATTGTGCTGAATTTTAAGCTGCTGGGAAGGAAATTAGAAAACTATCTAGAAAAAGAGGTTGTACAAGGCAGTTTATAACACAGAAAGCAAAGATCAAAGGAGAAACTCAGTTTTATGACTGAGTGCAGTGATTCTCAAACTTTGGCATGCATCGGAATTGCCGGGAAGGCTTGTTAAAACTCAGAATGCTGGACCCTACCTCCAGAATGTCTGATTCAGTAGTTTTGGGTTGAGCCTGAGAATTTGCTTTTCTGACAAGTTCCCAGATGGTAAGAATGCTTCTGGTTCAGGGACCACACTTTAAGAAACATTGACAGAACAGACCAAGAACTCACGCAAGCTCAGCAATTCAGATGTAAAAACCATATTTTTGAAATGAGGACTATGAAAGGAAGAGGAGTTCTGTGGAAGCCTGTGGTGTTAGCCCTAGCTGTGTCCTTATCTGATGAACAGTAAGAGCAATGGGGACAGCAAGATGAGAATTCACAGGTTATCAAGACAGAATTTAAAAAGTGGGTGGGTGCAAGGTGACTGAAGCTGGAGACTTGATTGGTTTGGGAACAGATGTCCTGAGAGATGGGGGTTATCAGTGATCCCAGGTTAGGGAGCAGGGAGAGGCAGGAGACAGGGAGATTAGGCAGGAACTGTTCTTTTTGTGTTTGTGTGTGTGTGTGTGTGTGTGTGTGTGTGTGTGTGTGTTGAGACAGAGTCTCACTTTATTGCCCAGGCTAGAGTGAGTGCCATGGCATCAGCCTAGCTCACAGCAACCTCAAACTCCTGGGCTCAAGCAATCCTTCTGCCTCAGCCTCCCGAGTAGCTGAGACAGGCATGCGCCACCATGCCCGGCTAATTTTTTCTATATATATTAGTTGGCCAATTGATTTCTTTCTATTTATAGTAGAGACGGGGTCTCGCTCTTGCTCAGGCTGGTCTCGAACTCCTGAGCTCAAACGATCCGCCTGCCTCGGCCTCCCAGAGAGCTAGGATTACAGGCGTGCGCCACCGTGCCCGGCCAGGAACTGTTCTTCATGTCCACAAGTACTCATCACCATCACTCTGAACCAAGGGCTGCTGTCGCATACAAACCCATGCCTGCCCTTTGCGTACAATTAAACAGTGGTTCTATATCTAAATGCTGCTCCAAACTAATCAGGGTTAACCCTATGAAATTGCCAATATTTAGCAGCTCTTGACTTAATAAAAAACAAAATAAGCAGCCTAAGTACAGCCTAATACAATATGAACTGTAGAATAAATGCATTATAAAGTATGAACTGAAAATAAATGCAAAATTCTTTATATTTAACTCAGCTCTCTTCTTTTGTCAAATAAATTTTAAATGAGGAATCAACTCTTAGGTCTTCCATATTTAGATTTAAGTGCTTTGAGGATTTTTCCATCGCAAATTTTCCATCCTTGAAACCACTTTCACAGAACAGACTCTGATCTGCTGCCCCCTGCTGTCAGCTGGGGGAGCAACCTGATTTTAACTGTATCCAGGAGGCAAGAGCTATTCTTTTAAAAAATATATTCAGGATTTTTAAACATGTCACTTAGAATTATCCCTTGTTCTGGGTAAACTTTGCCAGTACTTTTCTCTATTAGAAGATTATTGAGACTGATGGAATAAGTCATTCTCATGTGAGCCCTACTGGTGTGATCTTTCCCTTTTTGATATAACTGAACAGAGTTAGTAAGGGATAGCATTACAGTTGGTCCCTCAGTAACTCACTCATAACAGGGACAGCAGCTTGCAGATTTCAGCCACCAGGCTAGGGAGAATGTAGGGAAAGGTAACCGCGCAAAGAGGCTTCAGTCCTGGATCTTGGTGATTTTGCTGGAGTGAGTTAGAATTTCATTACCTTCAACAAAAACTGGGGTTTATGTTCTGGTGGTTTTATTCTCCATGTGATAAAATGGGATGAGTATAAGTCAACTCTACTCTTGCCCTCAATTCTTCTCTGTAACATCAAAAGGGACTGACTGCTGGGTTTTTGTAAGAATCTCCAAGTTTTCCATCTAACACAGAACTGTGCTGCTGGTGGTAACTAATGGTTGCTTGCAGTGCTTAAAATTCAATCCAGAACCAGCTGGAGCATCAACATTGTAACTCAGATACACAACTGTTTAAATGCCATCCCCTCTCTACCCACTATTTGTTCTTAATACT